GAGTACCGGTAATCTGTTACTACTGCGTGACTGCCCCTCCCCGTCCTTGTATACACCCCGCTATATACTCCCTATAATACTCCGCTATATACTGCGCTATATACTCCCTATAATACTCCCATATACTCCCTATAATACTCCCTATAATACTCCGCTATATACTCCCTATAATACTCCCTATAATACTCCGCTATATACTCCCTATAATACTCCGCTATATACTCCCTATAATACTCCCATATACTCCCTATAATACTCCGCTATATACTCCCTATAATACTCCGCTATATACTCCCTATAATACTCCTCTATATACTCTCTATAATACTCTGCTATATACTCCCTATAATACTCCGCTATATACTCCCTATAATACTCCTCTATATACTCTCTATAATACTCTGCTATATACTCCCTATAGTACTCTGCTATATACTCCCTATAATACTCTGCTATATACTCCCTATAATACTCTGCTATATACTCCCTATAATACTCTGCTATATACTCCCTATAATACTCCCTATAATACTCCCATATACTCCCTATAATACTCCTCTATATACTCCCTATAATACTCCGCTATATACTCTCTATAATACTCAGCTATATACTCCCTATAATACTCAGCTATATACTCCCTATAATACTCCACTATATACTCTCTATAATACTCCCATATACTCCCTATAATACTCCTCTATATACTCCCTATAATACTCCTCTATATACTCCGCTATATACTCCCTATAATACTGCCTATAATACTCCCTATAATACTCCTCTATATACTCCCTATAATACTCCCTATAATACTCCTCTATATACTCCTCTATATACTCCCTATAATACTCCTCTATATACTCCTATATACTCCCTATAATACTCCCTATAATACTCCGCTATATACTCCCTATAATACTCCCTATAATACTCTGTTCCATGGATATGAAGTTTGTGATTCTCTGATGTTCTCTCTCCTCAGGCTGTTGGTGGTGTGCGGGGGCGGGGACAGAGTGTAAGGTCCGCCTCCCCCTGACAATGGTTGGCACCCTCCCACAAGGTGACCCCTCAGATAGAAGAGGGCCCCAGGAGAGACGCCCCGAGAGGCCCGGAGCCCCCCGCCTGCTGCTGACCAGACTGCAGGACATCAGAGCCACTCCAGGAAAGAGACAACCGCAGGGAGACCTGCAACCTCCGAGAGCCCGCCGCGAACTCCGACCTCTGCAGACCAGAGAGGGGCGGAGTCCCCCCAAAGAGGAGCGGGGTCCCCCCATGTCTGAGCACCTTCCAGAGGACAACCTGCCTGACCCAGGAGCCCACCAGGAGGACAGAGCGCTGCATGTGAGGCCGCAGGAGGACAGAGCGCTGCATGTGAGGCTGCAGGAGGACAGCGCGCTGCATGTGAGGCCGCAGGAGGACAGAGCGCTGCATGTGAGGCCGCAGGAGGACAGAGCGCTGCATGTGAGGCCGCAGGAGGACAGAGCGCTGCATGTGAGGCCGCAGGAGGACAGAGCGCTGCATGTGAGGCCGCAGGAGGCGCAGGAGATGTTGGAGTGGAAGCGGAAGGAACATGCGGATATGTGCAGGAAGGTGCAGGAGGTGAGCGCAGGGCGGGTTGTGCGGTTGTCACACACGGTGGACGGGATTGGACGATGTTTCTTGTGTTTCAGATGCAGCGACAGGCCGAGGAGATTTCCGTTCTTCAGCTGCAGTTGGTGAGTCCCGAGTGCCGGAGGTGCCGGTATTGTGGAGACTGAATTCCTGGAATCACCACCAGAAACTCCCCGCCCCC